ATAAAATTTTCAATTATATGAATTTTGTATCAAGCAGTTTTAGCAAGGTTTCTCCAAGATGTGAAGTAAAATTTTAAATTTTTTCGCTACGAATAAAAATGATTATAGTGAGTGTACTTGGCCTTAAAAATACAAAAAACAGATGATGTATGATTAAAAATTAACTTACTTCGATACTTTTGCTTTTGAATTTTTATTTCTATCTCTACCCAAAGATAAAGAAAAGTACTGAGTAGCCTTCGCTTCGACTTTGTAGTCTCTTTCAATTGATTTATTCGTTATGAAAGTTATACCGCAAATTGAAATTAAAATGACAGTCATAGTACATAAATCCATCGTTAAATTTGTTTCATATAATCTCGTCTAGGTTTTAATAAATTAATCAATAAATATGTGTAATATTCACGCAATGAAATAACAGTCATTTTACTTAATAACTTACGTTGTAGATAATTTAATATAAATATATAAAAGAAAATGAAAAAGAAAGAGACCATGGAAAATCCATTTGTTTATTTATTTGTTTATATACAGAAAGTTGATCATTTACAAATGAAAAAAATTTATACATTTGGTAAGCTACTTCCATTTTTGTTTATCTAAATATTCTCACGAATAAAATTTTTTTTTTTTTTGAATTACAAGTCATTTATACTATTAATGAGAATCTACGCAACGACAACAACAATAATATCACATTGATTCTCAGAAAGAATGAAAATTAATGAGCATAATTAATCTAATTATATATGATAGAACATTTTTATTTTACGATTATTATATTTATTAATCGAAAATTATGATCGTCAACGTAAAATTTTAACAATATTAATAATATAATTGATATTGCATTCGGTAACAAAATTTATAAATCGCTATAAAACCTTGTTCCTCAAAATTGGAATTTATTTATGTGCGTAACACGTCTTTTATTTTTCACATAAATGGCTTTATTGACAGTCTTTCATTATTGAAAATCACTTTGTTATGATTTCCTTATTTTTCGTTTATTGTTTATCTAAATTAATTCAATTCAAAGAATGATTGTGATAGAATAGATAAGAAATTTCTGTGTTAGTCTATTAAATCATTTACTCCATATTCGTATTGAAATGTTCTTTGGCAGAATTCTAAATTTGTACAGCTATATAATAAATAAATAAAATATGAATGAAATGGACGGATTTAATAAATCCCGCGATCATTGTCCCTGAAATATTAGATCTATGCAGGGGTTTTTATTAAGGTCAATACACAAAATTAACACTTAACCTCAAATATTTTTTCATCATGTAATTTTCCATTGTTTAGTCGATTTTCTTAATATTTTTTTTTCGTATTTTCTTTAGTATTATTCAACTACTAATTTTTTTTTTCCTAAAAAAAAAATTGAAGAGTAATTTATTCTTTTCATTTCCTTTTAGGTTTTTATATTCGGCCAAGGTCTGTAAATCAAACATGATATGGGTATACACGGAGAATTAACAGGTACTCTTCTTTTTTTCTTTTCTTTTTTTTTTGTGTTTTTGTTCATCACATTATTATGTTTGATTTGATTAAGTTAATGCATTAAAAAAAAATTTTTTTATTTAATTTCTTTTACAAGAAAAATTTGCTTTTTCGTGATGCGGTATTACGTTAGCGCCGGAATTTTCGTATTTTTTTTAGTTTCTTCTACTAAAAAAAATTTTTTTTTTGTCTTCTCAGATCCAGTTCAGCGTTGCGGTACTATGGTAAGCGCTAAAATTTCATTTCTTGATTTGTAAATTATTTTATATAATTTCTTTTACTAATTATTTTTTTTCGTCTTTTTTAGATCCAGTCGTCCAGATTGGGTTCAGTGAGGCGCTGTGGTACTATGGCAAGCGCTGAATTTTTTTTTGCATCGTTAATTTCTTTTACTAAAAAAATTTTTCATAGCCAAAAAATGCAGCGTGGCCTTTATTAAAAATGTTTATATAGAAAAGACGCATAAAGTTATTTTATACTTTCGTAATGAACAAGATATGAAGAAAGTTAAGGAGTCTGGTTTTATTCAAACCAAAGCTTATTTCAAATTGGATTGACAAAAAAAAAAAAAAAAATCATTTACTAGTTATTCGTACTGAAAAGAATATTCCTTTATATATTTATCATGGTTGGTAGTTGTGATGGATTTGAAATTAATTCATTTAAGAATAAATGTAAAGGTCAAGTAGGCTAGTTTAATGATCAACTATCTGATAAAGTTCGATGGTATAAATCAATCATCTGGTGACTTTATCTTTTCATTTGAAAATAATGAAGTTATATTAGTACCAGTTTTAATTTTGGTTAGGATTCATTATATAAGATATGGAAGTTCATTTAAAATTATTATGACGATTATACAATTAGAAGGTAATACAAGAAATTGAAACTTTTATTGTAACTTTAAATCAATAACTTTATTTGTATAGATAATTTCATGAAGTTTCCATAAAAATTATTTCGTGCTTTATAAGTTATTTACAAATTTCATAAATAAATTTTATAAAAATTACAAATTTCAGTTATTTTAATATATTGTTTTTCAAAATTTTAATGCTTCTCTGTCTTCATATGATATAATTATTTATTCAAAGTGCTAAAATGATATGTTTACTAATGATTTTTTGAGAACTTTTCAAACTCGAAGCCCTTGCCGGTTTTAAGAATGCACTAAACTAATTTAAATTATTCATAGAATTTTGAACGTCACTGTCGTCACAATCAAATTATTAGTTTATTTACTGTCTTACCAAAATTAGCTTGCATCATGTGATACACAATTCAAATGAAAGGTCACACGATTTAAAATATTTCCTTTCTAAGCATCTTCAATGTATAATAATAATTATACATAGGCATTTCGGCGAAACGCCGATTCGCCGATTCGCCGATCTGCCGATCCGCCGTTTTAGGTCTTATAAAATTTGAATATACGGGTGTCCCGACTATTAATTTTTTACCTTTTATTTGCAAAATGAATACTCAAAGCGTTAATACAGTTATTTTGTTTCATGATACTGATGATAACACTATCGAATACAATTGGCTTACTGTTATTGATGCTTTTATTGCTTGTATTGAATTGTTTTTTGCGTTCCGTTTTCTTAAGTCGGATATCAGAAACAATATTTCGACACATTGGTTTTTACATGGATCAACTGTATTTATTGATTGTGTTAAAACAGCAACAGATCTAGGCCTAGGTTTTGGTTCAATTTATAGAGGTGGAATGTCCTTTATTTTATGGATGATTTTATCGGTTATCATCATTATTAAAATTAAATATTCAGAAGTACTAGAGAATGAATTTTTGCACATACAACTGAATATTATATCAATCACAACGATTGTTTTGAATCTTTCTAGACAATATGTTGCAAATCTTAGTGACATCTATTTCTTTTTAGGACTCATTAAATTCATTATCAATTTTTTTGAATTGATTGATATAATTCCGATTGGTTTTCATTTCCAAATCATATTTACTATTTGTGAAGGTGCCTTACTTTATCTTAATAATTCAGTCTCAACATTAAATACTATCATATTGTTAGTATGCATTTTTCAAAACTTTTTTTTTATTATGAATCTTTTCACAAATTTCACATATGAAAAAATTAAATGGAAAATTAATTTCTCATTTTTTTGGGTTGGATTCTTTTTGTTTAGTATTCCTATACTATGTTATATTTTTGATACTATAACGGTTATTATTTGTATGATTGTCGTACAACTTATTCCTTTTTCATTAACTTTAATAGTTCTAGAAATTTTATTACAAATATTTTCATGGAGTAATTTCGAGTACAGTTTTTGGATTGCACATTTTATCATTTCCTTTATTTTTGCTATTTATGCTTTCACTTATTTATCCGAATATATGATTATTTGGATGAAAATTACAGAATTATACATACCATTTAATCGTATAAGAGTTGGTCTTCTTACCGTCCACTTCAAGCATTAGTAGAGGTCGAATATTTTTTTTTCTAGTCATGCAATCAGGTTTTACTCTTTCTTGCATTGCCATCTGACTATTAATAAAATTCCGATAAAAAATATATATATATTAAATAAACTTACGCTTCTTAAACCGATAAGAATTAGACCAATAAAACAGTAAAACTTAGCAGATAATTATTCTGTTAACTCACCTGACCTAAAATTTCAATGTCAATGCTTATTATAAAGTTAAAATAATTATGTATAATTATGTATAATGTCGTAATGTCTTGTCTTAAAAATATAATTTATTAAAAAAAATAAAGAATATTTTTTGCAGACTTTAAAATAAAAGTCAATAATATAAAATTAAATATTATAATGAGTATAAAAATAAAAATTTCACTAATTTTATATTTTGTAAATGGTTTTATATTATTATTTTGATAATTCATATCTAATAATTGTAAAAGTTATATAAAAAAAAAAGATTTATTTAAATTACAAACTAAGATACTTGTAAAATATTTAATACTCTAGTCTTAGTGTTTAAATAATTCAAAGTAAATAAAAAAAATATATATATAAATATTTAATACTTGGATATGCTATGAAAAAAAAGGAATTATTTAAATTACAAACTAAGAAATTTGTAAATATTTTACTAACTCTAGCCTTAGTGTTTAAATAAATCTTAAAAAGAATAAAATAAAAAATAATTTCTGTTGAATGTAAGATATCAAATATCACTTAAATCTTTTTCGAAACACAAATAATTAGTTGATTTCATTTGTCGTAATATCTAAATAATTAAATAATTAAAATTAATTGCATATATAAATTTCCAAATTATTATTTATTTTTTTTTTGTATATTTTACATACCTAATGATTCATATCATCGTTAATTATGCAATCATCCAAATTTTCACTTTTAAGAATTTCATTCAATTCTTTACTACTAAAATCAAGTAAGCGACTTGTATAACATGCTTGTGGATAAGATTCAATAGTAAAATTGGTTTTCTGCCCAATTGGTGCATTTATAAATTATATAACACTGCGTTTTAATTCTTCATTAATTTTCTTTCCTCTAGGCTGAATAATCCATTTTTCAATAATATCAGACACTTCATTAGCAGATGGCCTTTTTAATGGATCCTCATCCCAACATTTTTTCATTAAATCTGCATAACATTGTGGAGTATTTTCAATAATTTCAGGACGTTCGCCTTTACAAATACTTAAACTAAGTTGAAAATCATGTTCTCTATTATTAAATGGTGGTACCCCAGATGTAAATTCCCACATAATCATAGAAAAACTATATATATCACTAGCTGGAATATAAGATTTTCCTCTTAAAACTTCAGGTGCCATAAATGGTATAACACCATAAATATCATATTTTTTCAAAGATGATTTTATAGGTCGACATAATCCCAAATCACTAATATAAAAGTTATCCTCATCCTCATTATTGTGATTTAAAATATTGCCATCATGAAAATCACAATGAATAAGATTTTGATTATGTATAACACTAAGTCCAGAAATAACTTTATATAATATATCTAATCTTTGATTCCAATTATATTTGATTATTATTGTTAAGTTTCCTCTTAAATTACCTTTGTTTGCATAATCCATTACTACCATATATTTTAAAGTATCTGGATTTTTTGTAAACCCATGAAAATTAATAATATTACCTGTACCTAAACAGCTTTTATGATATTTCCACTATAAAAAATAATAGCATATTAGTATAAATACTGTAAGTTATAATTTAAATTAAAAAAATAATAAATAATGATTTTATCGTCATACTTCATTTAAAAATTCATTTAAGTTTTCATTTAAGTTATTGAGACATTTAAGAATTACTTTACTATTTTCATTATCATTTAACCAAATAGCTCTGTATATAGTACCAAATCCTCCTTTATCAAGATATTCAACATTTTTAAGTTTATCATAAGGAATCCATTTTAAATCTCCTTCCGAAATAAAGTGATCCATAATTTCATTTCCATCTTTCCAAATCTATAAATTTAAATAATTAAAATTATACTGAAATTTATATTAAAAGTTATAAGATTAAAATCAAGACTTACTCTAAAATTTAAATAGAAATTTAATATAATATCTGTTTTAGTATTTGTGTAAGTATATATAATAATAACCTATATTTCCCAACTTACTAACTAAAATAACAGAAATTTTAAATGAAAAAATTCAATTAAAAGATAAGTATTTTATGAAATATATAACAATAGAAACAACAAATAACTTACAAGCTGTATTATTAAATAATTTTTTAAATAAAGAATTTAGTTAGTTTAAATTATATATAAATATTGTATAAATAAGTAATAGAATTAAATAAATAACTTATAACTTACATCCTATTTAAATAAAAAATTTGGTTAGTTTAAATTATATGTAAACATTATATAAATAAGTAATAATAGAATTAAATAAATAACTTATAACTTACTATCTATTTAAATAAAGAATTCAGTCAGTTTAAATTGTATGTAAATATTATATAAATAAAGAAATTAAATTACAAATTTTAAATAAAGAATTTAGTTAGTTTAATTATATGTAAATACTATATAAATAAGTAATAATAGAATTAAATAAATAACTTATAACTTACATTCTATTTAAATAAAGAATTTAGTTAGTTTAAATTATATGTAAATATTATATAAACAAGTAATAATAGAATTAAATAAATAACTTATAACTTACGAACTAAATAAAATTACAAAATAATTTATTAAATAAAGAATTTAGTTAGTTTAAATTAGATGCATATATTATATAAATAAGTAATAATAGAATTAAATAAATAACTCACTCCCTATATTATTTAAAAGAATTTAGTTAGTTTAAATTTATGTAAATATTATAAATAAATAATAATAGAATTAAATAAATAACTTACTCCCTATATTATTAAATAAAGAATTTAGTTAGTTTAAATTATATGTGAATATTGTAAATAAGTAATAATAGAAATAAATAACTTACTCCCTATATTATTAAATAATTTTTTTAAATAAAGAATTTAGTAAGTTTAAATTATATGTAAATATTATTACTTATTACATACTAAATAAGTATATAAATAAATATAATAGAATTAAATAAATAACTTATAACTTACCAACCAAATAAAATTAACAAAATATTTTTTTAAATAAAGAATTTAGTTGGTTTAAATTATATAGATAATAGAAATATAGATTTAACTTACACCCTGTAGTGTTATTAATTATTAATTAGTTAGTATAAATATAATGCAAAAGTATTTACTGTAAATTAAATGTATTACTTACAATCTAGTTATTTATAAGAATATAATTAGTTGATTTATATAAAATATTAGATAAACGAATATAATATATATTGTAACTTACCATCTGTAATATAATTGTAATATAATCAATTATTAAATAAAGAATTTAGTTACTTGAATATAGAATATAATATAAAATAAATAAAGATTTAAATAACTGAATAACTTACTAACTAGAGTATTATTATTTATTAAATGAATTATATAGTTTACATAAAATATAACAAGATTAATAAATATATTCATTATTATTTCATTATAAATAACTTATTAACTTACGAGCTAAATTATTTGTATATTTTATATAGTTAGTTTAAATTATATTTGTATATTATTGTAAATTTGTTAAAAAATTTTAGAATTTTAATTGTATTAAATACTGTTAAATATGATTTTTACCATTATCATTGCTATAAACCATTATTATATTTTTCACCCTTCAAATACAGGAACCTATATTGAAATATTGAGAATTTATATAAGTTATAATTTTAAAATGATATAAAGATAAGTAAAATGATTATTATTATTAAACTCCTTTATTAGTATGGGTATATATGGCAATAATAATGCATTATGTTGATCACAAGTATTGCATGGAGGCCATGGACCGACACATTTACTATTAGCTCTACGCATTGTTTCAGGGCCGGCACTATGTAATGCTGGTCGGCATTATTCACAAATGGAAGCGATCTACATGATTTTTGGCTCATTATAAGCAAGTAACTAGGAGTCTAAGATTCGACCTTTCTATGTATAGTTCGGGGTCCTATTGTATGTGTGACAAACAAATTTCGCTCATTTGGATTATCAGTATGTCAATCATCAAGCCTCATTATAAATATATACAAATAGCAATACAATGTTGTTGTTTTCAGCTATAGTTGTTGTTTTTGTGATTGGCTACTATGATATTACGTTATATTTTAAAAAGGGAAGGAAGTAGTCCTTAATTTCGTTAGTAACATGTAGTGAACAAGGGCAGTTTTTAATAAATATATATATAATATGAATCTCAATTACAATTACAATTACAATTTCAATATATCAATATCACAGCAGTTATTTAAATAAATTTTAGAAAATTGGAAGATAATTTTCATTTACGACACAATCAAAATTGGATTCACATGCTAGCACAATGAATAATTTAAGCAGCATATATAACAACTATAAGTAGATTAGTACAAATGAAATTGCACATTTTTTTATCGTCTAAAAATATTGTATTTTTTATTGTTTAATGAAATCGGAATTTTTTTAATGAAATTACACTTTTTTTTATTTAAGAATTATTATTATATGGTTTGTATACTAATAAAAAACAAAATGTGAAAATATTATGTAGTAATAACTGAAAGTGAAATTTTATATTCAAAATGATTGTACATGTATTAATCATATATTTAAAGAGTTTATAAAAATATTATCATATTAGCATACTCTTATAAAATCACTTAAGCAAAATAAAAGATCCTTAACGTTGCACATAACAGATACTTAAAGAAAAAAATGATCATTCATCATAAAATTTTAATGTATGTAAATTTTTTTTTTAAAAAAAAAAGAATGGATGATTATATGTTATTGGATGATTAAACTAAATAATAGTCCAGTAGCGGCTAGTGCCACATTAGACTATTTTATAGTTTAAATCATCCAATAATAATTTATCGGTTTGACGGGACCGTTCATGCAATTTTTATAATAAACTCCTGTTACTATCCAATAATTTTATTATTATGCTATGTAATACATAGTAATACGATTATACGAGATAATCGACCTAAATAACAATTATGTAAAATCTGCATGAACTTATGAGGATAACTGGCAATTTGTATAATATAATTATTAGATAAAATTTATAAAATATATACATATTACTTTGCTGAAATATCAATAAATTAAATAATAAAATATCTGCACTATAATTGCATTGTTTAGCCATTATTATGTGTGTTGCTATTTAGCACTATACAACACATTATAAAAGCATGATTACATATAGTAACTGTACTATATTCAGTTTATTGCAACCATATAGTTAACACATTATGATTTATGAAAGCATTATTAAAAACATTGATAAGTATTGTTTTAGCATTGTTAAAAATATTATCACTGTAAAGTATTTATACTATAAGTTTCGAATAACCTCTGTCCTCACTGTTCATCTAACACACATGTCCAGACTTGTCTAAAAAAGAAAAGAACGAAACATCAGTAAGTATTTTGTTAACTAATGTTTTGTTAAAGAAAAATTCAGAAAGTCACTTTTTCTGCACATGTTCCAATGGTTAAAAATATATTGAATAAGCTTCATCAGAGATATTTCTTAATAAGGAAATTCGAGACTATAAAAAAAATAAAGAAATGTTAAAAATGTCTTTAATTAAAACAAAAAAGCAAAGAAATCCTTAGGGATCTGTAAAAAAGATAAAAGAAATGTTCAAAATGTTTCTAATAAAAAAGTAAAAAGATAAAGTTTCAAAGTTAATTTCAATACTTATTATTCGAAATCCCATCAAAACTGGAATCTACAAAAGAAAAAAATTAAGATTTACTATTACAAAACTTTCAATTTCAGCATCTTCAGCACATTTTAGATGAAACCTATAAAAGAAAATAAATAAAAACAAATATTAGAAGAAATTCTTATTTCTAATTAAATAATAAAAGAAATAGATTCTTACTAAGATTTTATGCGTCCAGAAATCTAGCTGTCTAAAAAAAAAATTGAGATATTAGAAAATGTTTCATTAAAATAAATATCAAGAAAAGATTCTCATACGCCTAAATACCATTTAAAAAAAAAGAAGACAAAACTTTTAATAAACATTCGATAAAAGATGCAAAAAAATAAAATTAAATAATACACTTATCAAAATCCCATGTAAAGAGAAATCTGAAAGAACTAACTAAAAAAAGCAAAAGAAAACAGATTCTTCTCTACAAAAATATTTTCCAAAATAAGTGGTCTTTTATGTACAACTTTAAATATGATTCATTAGTCTTAACCATATATCTCTAATTTTTTGTGATACCTCGATATTGTTTAAAACGCCATAAAGAATTTAACATTGTAACGAAATTTGGCTAAAGTCACTTAAAATGTTAACTAAGTCAATATTTGCTAAATCAAATTTGGTATTTAATAAGAATAATATAAATATATTTTTTAAATACCTTACAATTTATACATTTTTTTTACTGCATCTCTACATCATACCCTGACTCAAGTCTAGGAAATTCGTTACATTATTATATACAAGGTGTTGTAAAACTTAAAGCTTTTATACGACATTAATCACTACAGTATTCAACTTAAACCTCTATTCGGATCTAAATCTGGTTCGCATATTGAACAGTAAAGACATTTTAGTATTAAATTATTAATTGATTTATATGATGACAAAGATGATATGATCTTTGGCATCTTTTATATATCTGAAAGGTTAATAAAGATCAACAACCAACTTTGTGCATAAAATCTACATTTCATTATTTTAATAATTTTCGTTATTTAAATATATAAAAAATAATTTATAAAATAAGTATAATATTTATTAAATAATCATATAGTATTATTTACTAATCACTCTTATTTATGATTCGAATAAGCGATTCCTCAAAATATGAAATAAATTATACATGTGAACCTCCGCTTAGAAAAGCTATAAATATTACTACTTCTGTTTCAGGTTCATTTCATAACCCCTTTGATGGTTATCGAAAATTTGACTTCCTATTATAAACGCTTCGATCTTGTAATAATTTGGGCTTTTATAAAAATTCTATCACTCGATTTATCACCAGTAAATATGCCGATGCAAGGAAATCCGCAAACTTCCACTTCCAATTTTTTAGATTCATTATTTCCAAAAGCTCCTTGCATGAGATGCGGTTCCAAAGCTTGACCAGCATCGAAAAATTTATAGGTTGGTACAGAAGCTTGTGTTTTAAAACCAAAATAAAAAATATTAATAACTTTATGAGTTATTTGAACGGCTAAATCATCCATTTCACTTTTAGTTTCTTCATCTACAACTTGTCTATATCTATTCATTTTATACAACAATTTACTTGCTGTGGTTGTGATTAAAGAGTGATCACTCGGAAAACCACGACAACGAAGGGCTGAATAAACATCTTGACGAATTTTGACTGGCGTAATCTTAGTGATATCGTCTTCTCCCTTCCGACTTTTTTCAAATAATATTGTCTGATTAATTAAGGTTTCGGTGGTATTTGCAATATCTCCCTCAAGAGCCATCCCTTGACTTCCTGTCCCTCTACTCATGGCAGTTAAATATTTTTCAACTTCTTCTAAAATTTTGATAATTGCAATCCTTTGAAGTAAAAACCCTAAAACAAGGCTTGCTCGCGAACTAGGGCACTTTACTTCGCATTTAAGAACTCTTAAAAGAGCATTTGCCTCATCGTTAATTATCTTATAATCACTTCCTTGAACCATTGTGAAATCTGAGAGCATATCTTGTAAATCTCTAATATCTTGAATTAATTTTCTTGAATTATATAGACCATCATCATTCAAAGATAAATTTGTTAAATTATCAAGAGCTACCTGTTTCGAACTTTCATTTATTAAATCTTCTACTTGAGCTTTTAAATTCTCGTTTTCGCTTTTCAAAAGTTCTTGAATATTTTGAGCACCTTGTAACTCATCTTCAAGAATTGTTGAATTACCAATTTGTGAATTATTATCGGCCAAACCAACTATTTGATTTTCCAAACTTTTATTTTCACTTAAAATTATTTCTTGATTTTCATCTTTCATTTTATTATTAAGGGGTGCTTGTTGTAATTCTTTTTCTTTTATTTTTCTTGAAAATGATTGAAAAGATTTTATTCTAGACAAAATCATCGCTCTTAACTCTTTTTTTTGAAGTAATGAACAACAGTCTAATTGTTCCGAAACATTAAAAAAATTATTCTTTAATCCATAGTTTTCCAATTCTTTCCAAACATCATGAACTAAATTTTATCTAAAAGTTTTGTTACTTAAAAAACGATAACCTTTGTAATCATCCAACATTTTAGAATAATTCTTATCGTTTTCCTCTGAAATATTTAATTCCTTGATAATTTGAATTAAATTATCAGTTTCTTCCCTTAATTCTTTTGAAAATTGTGCACTATTTCGTACTGGAATAGTATCCCAAACAAGAATAAATAAACAAATATAATTCTCAACTGTTTCCAAGGAAGCGAGCCACATAAATAATTGCCAGTTATTCTCACTAACTGTATCTAAAGAATATTCAATTTTACTGTGGTTTATAACAAATTCTCGATCTTGTGTTACACTTCTTCGTTTTAAAGGTTTTTTACTTGACGCCATAATTTTTAAATTAGTTGTGGATAATGGATTAACAATAAACGTAATTTTTTTTTAATTTTTTATAGGCTTGCTATGTGTTATGTTACGCTAAAGTAAATTGTGTCACGCTAAATTATGTTACGCCAAATTACGTTACGTAACTCATTGCATATAAGGCGCAGTAAAAGAGAAAGTCATAATTTTCTTTTAAGCTAAAATCCAAACAAATATGATTTTAATAATATTGAATATATATTGTAAAAAAAAAAAATAATAACTTTGAATAATTATTGACTCTTGAATACTTTTTATAAATATTTACGATCATTAAACTTGAATAAATTTTTATTTTAATTTTATTAAGACATACATACTCACTTTCTAATAAAATGGCCTTATATATATATAGACCTTCGTTACACTTTGGACCAAAAATAAGTAATTATTTTTAAAATTCTATAGTTCTTCATAAAAAGTTATAATAATGGATGATATTAGAATTCTCGTTGCAATGGATTTTGGGGCTACATATTCTGGAATTGTTGTAGTAAATAGTTTCATGGTAATTATGTTTTAATTGACGTAGTCTAATAAAATCCTCATAAAATTAAACTCTTTGATGGTACAATCGTTAGGCCAGGACGAGGTGTACCAAAAGACACAGCACTTCAATATGATGAAGGGCATAAAAAAGTAACCAGTTGGGAATTTAGCTTTATAGATGAAAAAAATGATGAAGTATCAGATGATACAGAAGGACAACATTCACATTCTGTTGAATATAATGAGAAAGAAAGAATTAGCCTCAATTATATTATACATAAGCTATTGAAGATTATTATATAGCTTAAATGAGAAAATTAATTCAAGAAACTCTAGAAAGACGACGGCCTACTGTGAAGTTTTCTCGACAAGTCGTCCTGTCGAATGGGTACATGATGATCAAACCATTTATTTTATTTTATTTAATTTTGTTTTTTTAATTTTGTTTATATCGTATTATTATAGCAACTAAAGTCATGGGAGAATGTGCATGTAAAGCAGGAATATTAACTTTTGAATTTACAACAATTATGATTTACAACCGAGCGTATATCCATTATATTAATTATCCTGATTGTTATATTTATATTTATATACTTTACTCAAGATCATGAGCATTATATTCGTTTCATCAGTTGAAGCTGCAGAACCATACGGTATATTTTCTTTTGCTAATATTTCAATAAATTTAAAGTTAAATCCACAAAGATTCATTCTTAGTAGCTGATTGCGGAGGTGGTACAGTTGATTTAACTTTCTAGAAAATGAATTGAGGTTACTGGACGTGTTGGTGATTTATGGTAGCACATTCGTAGATTAAGATAAATTATACGCCCACTTAAGTTAATGTCGTTGCTTTATATATAAAACATATCAAATGTTTCGGATTTAGTGATTTAAATGTTATTTATTAGCGAATTTATACTTTAATATATTTGATTCTTTATAATTTGAAATTTTCAACTAAAAAAATTTGGTCATGTTTAGATTACCATATATAAATAATTTGAATTGTGTAATATGAAACACATGATCTGCCACGCCTAATCTATTCCATATTAGGTTAGTAAATACTAAAAAATTCACTGTGTAACCTAACGTTTATATTTGTCTGCGCCTGAACTATTCTACTAATAAAAATATTAAACTTATTAAGTTAATAAATTGAAAAACAATATCGTTCTTCTTTTTACGATTAGTTAATAGATTGTTTAGTAACTTTTTTTATTTTCTTAATAGATCGTTTAGTTATTTTATTATTTTTTTATTATTATTATTTTTTTTTAATTTAGAAATTTTTTTTAACAACGGATCGGATTTTTTTTTTCATTAAAATTTTTTTTTCCAACAATAGATCGGACTTTGCCCTTTCTTTATGTTCGGTAACTGACATTTACTAATATTAATTAGTAATAGTTAGTTCCCGGTTATAAAAAAAATTTACTTTTTTTTTATTTTTGCTTCCTGGTAACTGGCGTCATTCTAATACTATTAAGTAATAGTTTTATACATTTTTTTAGTAATAACAATAGGCTTTGGTGATAAGAATATTTTTTTTTTTTGTAACAATAGATTTGATAATGGAAATTTTTTTTAGATTACTATGATATAATCTTCTGTAATAATACATTCGCATGATGGTATTCTTGGTGATGAGAAATTTATTTTAATTAATTATTCAGAATTGATTTTGTGATGAGTCTGTAAACATATATAAATAAACCATAAATTCTATAATACTGCAACATTTGTTTAATATTATAATATTTGTATTAAGTTATTGTAATACTAAATCATTTTAATTTAATCATATCGTAAATATACCTCACATTATTATTGTATTGTAAATATTGTAAATATAATTTATATCATTCAAATATAGATAGTTGTATTATACTAATAAATATATAATGTATTATTCTAATATAATAATCATATTATAAATATAAATTTATACTGTATGTTCAGTATTATAATATTAAATACAAATCTACATAACTACTTCAGTTTTTTATTAACATGCAAAAAATTTTTCTAATATGTAAAAGAATTTTTCTATATAAAAAATTTTTTTCTGAGGGTGCTGACTACCTTTCAGAACCCCTTCTTAGGCTTTTTTTTTTACCTTTTTAAATTTTTATTTTATTTAATTTTATTATTTATTTTATTTTGAATTGTTTTATTTATTTTCAATTCTACAAATTTCTAATTACAAACAAAATTAATATTATATAAGTAACAAAATTTCTAAACATAAATCAGAATTTTCTTTTCAATACATAATACTATAATATGCAATTAATATATCCCGGCGCAGCATAACGGGTTACGGCTAGTAATAATTATCTGAAAAAAATTTGTAGCCAAATGAAATCATGAAGCTCAAAAAAAAGCTTTCTCAAGCTTTTTATTTCTGTTGATTGTGATACTTGAGCACAATGACATCATCATTCAATCACATCTAGGGAGATGCTTGAGAAGTGAGAACGCTCTTAAATTATTATAATAAATATAAAGGCTTTTAAAATAATATCCAAGTGAAATTCCAACAAATTAACTAAATTGCTTGTCATATTAAAGAAAAAAAAAATATGGATAATCAAAGTACAAGTGCGATTAAAATGCGTAAAATTAGGAAATGGAAACCGTTAACTAAAGAAAATTTGACCTTTCATGTTTATATTGATTTTTTAAGTATGATTTAAAAATAACTACAAATTAACAGTCTATTGAATAACAATCATTGATTTTTGTTTATCAAATTATTTGAATATTAATCAATATAATCGAGTATTCATTAAGTATGATAATCAAATTTGTTAAACACAAATTATAAAAAAAATAAAAATAAAAAATAAAAATAAAATTAGAAAGTACGATAATATTTTTCTTTTTTTGGTTATGAGGCGTAAAATACTACGCCTCATGATCACAAAATTTATGTGGGCACAACATGAAGTTTGATCAACAATTTGCATTTTACTAATTTATCAAGTGGAATGAACTTAAAATAATTCATTCATTCATTCTTTCTTATCGATTACATTATGTCCACCCTTCGATATGAATTAATTTATGCAACAAATAATAGAACGTTAACATTAATGGATACTAATATTTACAATGATATACATAAACAATTTGAATTTAGAAAGCAAACAGTCCTTGCTGATATAATTCTTACAAATGATGAAAAAACTTATGCAATAAGATAAATAACTAAAAATTATGATCGAAATAAAGTTAAAAATAATAAAGGAACAAAAAGAATTTGTGAAAATTGTAAGCAAGAATGTTTAGCCACATTATATTGTGAATATTGTGTTCGAAATTATTTAAAAGAAGATTTTTCAAATTGGACATCTGGAAATGATGATATTGATAATTTAATACAGAAATGTCAAATAGAATCACTAAAACCAAAAAATATAGTTGAATGGATCCCATATAGTAATTTAGAAAATATTAAATATTTAACAAAAGGTGGATTTTCTGAAATTTATACAGCAAATTGGATTGGAGGACGATATAATGAATGGGATTCTGAAAAAAAACAATTAAAAAGATTTGGAAATTTCAAAGTAATATTAAAAAAATTAGAAAATGTTGAAAGTGCAAATCAAAGTTGGTTTGAAGAGGTTTGTATTATTGTATTCTATATTTTATAAAATTGTTGTAATTTTTGTATTAGCACTAGTATTTTTACAAATTATTGTCTTTTAGGCTAAATCGCATTTAACTATAAGTAATAAAAGGGCGGAGGTTGTTCGATGTTTTGGTTTAACGCAAAATCCATCAAATGGAAATTATATGCTAGTAATGAAAAAAATGGATATAGATTTAAGAAAATATTTACAACAAAATCATAATCAACTTACATGGAAAGATAGAATGAAAATTATTAATAAAATAACTCATGCACTTTATAAAATTCATAAAGAGAAAGCAGTGCATAGAGATTTACATTCTGGAAATATATTATATTCACAATATAATGATTGCTGGTATATTAGTGATCTTGGATTTTGTGGACCTGCTGATAAATCTTCAACAAGTATATATGGAAATCTTCCTTACATAGCACCCGAAGTTATTGTTGGAAGAGAATATACTTTTGCATCTGATATTTATAGTATTGCAATTCTTATGTGGGAAATTTCATCTGGACAATCACCATTTATAAATTATGAACATGAAAATGATATTGTAATGAATATTATTAACGGTATAAGGCCAAAAATTGTACCAGGAACTCCATTAGAATATAAAAATTTAATGAAAGAATGTTGGGATGCTGATCCATTAAAAAGACCTGACGCTGATACAGTTTGTGATAAAATAGAAAAAATTAATTTATATCATCAAAATATGTCAGATGAATTACTCAAATCAGAAACGGATAATTTAGAAATGAATAAAGTAGAAGAAAATTATACGAGCAGCAGTTTATTTACAAGTAAAATTCACAACTTTGGAAATCTACCTGAACCCAGAAATGCAACAGAAGGTATAAGTGTATAATATTTTATTAATGAATATATTTATTTTAAAATACATTATTAATGTTATTTTTTTACTATAATAGAAGAACAAGAAGGTATAACCGTATAAATAATAATTTCTATCATTTTTTGGTTACTGCAATAATTTAATTTTTAAAATACTTTATTTACTACTAATAGTGTTTCATAGTAAATTGTATGATTTTAACATTCCTAACAATAGTAAGTAATTATTAACATTACAGCGTTGAATTATTACATAATGATGATTAATAATTGATATTTATTTTAGTTAATGATTTTAATGAATCAAATAAGCGAAATAGCAAATCATCAAAAGTAATTACTATTTTTAGAGGTAATGTGTTTTAATTATTGTTAAATCAAGATTGATATATATATTAAATCTAATATCTTAATTTTTAGATAGTAATAAAAAATTATCTAAATTATTTAAAAAGTTGCAAATAAAGTCAAATAGTAAGTAAATTACTACCGAATTAAATTACCATATCAATTAAATTTATTTAACGCGACTTTTATTTAAAATTTAGATGATGAAAAGAAAATAACTCAGCAACATGTCGATGGTAGGTGAAAATTTTACGTAATAACAAACAATTTTTATACTATTTTAAGTATGTTTATATTCTTATAGATGATGATGAAGTATATAATAATCCAAATCTTCATTCAGAAGAACAAGATGAACTGGAAATTCCTGATGGTAAGTTCTTAAATAAATTAAATTCTTTTTAAAGCAAATAATTAATTTATAATTTGTTATTTTTTATCTTTAGATGGATTTTGAATCATTTAACAATGTTTTTATTTATTTATTTATTTATTTTGGGTTATTTAAACACTAAGACTAGAGTAGTAAATGTTTTACAAAATTCTTAGTTTGTAATTTAAATAATTTTAATAAATTTATTCAAATTATTAAATGTATTTACTACCGTATATTGATTTAGGCGAAAATTAAGTTTTTTTTTTAATTATCGCGTCAATCGCGCCATGATAATTATTATTTTGCGAGTTGTATAAAAACTGTATAAAACTCGAATGTTTTACAATAATTTTTTCCTTTTGGAACCAAATTTTTTTTCATTTTTTTTTTATTGATTTTTTTTTTCCAGTTTCCTGAAAAATAATTTTTCCTTTTATTCCGGGTTCTTTTAGAACCAGAATATTTTTTCTTTATTATTTTTTTATTATTCACTTTTTCAAACTAATTTTTTTTCGGTTTATGGAACCAAAATGATTTTTTTAAACATTTATTCCCCTTTCAGTTTTTTTTTTTTTTTGAACCAAAATAATTTTTTTAAAAAAAATTTATTTCTTTCGATTTTTTTTGAACTGACTTATATTTATTTAAATTTTAAATTATGTTTTTTTTTCTGTTTTTTTTTAACTGAATTATTTTATTAAAAATATTCATTTTACTCTTCAGAATGTCCAGAATTTCTTCTTTTCCTTTTTTTTTTATTAATATTTTACTCCGGTTTGTTAAGGCCAGATTTTTTTTATTTTTTTTTTTCATGTTGTAAAACTTAATATCAAGATGTATAGTAAGTAGTATTATGTTATTTTAATGATTTGATTTTTTATTTAATGATAATACTTTTGTTTACGTACGAACTCGGGACAGCCATGCACCACCTGAGTAACATACAAGGAGTGTTAGGGAATAAAAAGAACAAAAATACACTTGCTTTCAAAATTAATAATCTTTTATTATTAACCAAATGAGGAAATGGGATCTAGTTAAATACCGCGACAAGTCTAATCATTTATTTGGCGTCAGTCAAAAAAAAAAAAAATAAACTAAAATGATAATCAAATCACTTTTTTTTAATAACGTAATATTTGCTTGAATTCAAGTGCTGTAAGATTTTCTTTGAGTAACAGTTCTAGTACCGATTATAGGAGAGGTAACGCCAGGTTTTTATTTATTAATGTAACCTTAAATAAAAAAAGGGTTTACGTCAATTTAATTAAAAAAATTCACTATACTAATTTATAAATAATTACCAATTTCCTTTGGAATAGGGATAAATCAAAATTTTCCGATTTTTCCTTTTTCACACTATCCACAACGCGACATCCTGATGATTTTGGATCAGAAAGTGCTTTTATATATTTTCCAGAAAGATAAAAATATTACATTGCAATGTATTGGTTAGGTATAAATGATTATTTATTTATTTATTTTATGTGAAGCCGGACAGACTATTCAACAGGACATAGTTAGGTATAAATGATCACCCTCTGCAATGATTACAATCAAAGACACCGGACATCATGTGATCCCGATCTGGTCATTCCAAAAAAACAGACACCAACTTACCAATCCACCAATCACACCATCACACAAATTACTCTAATTCACATCACCTACCTTTAAAAGAATCTCTGACATCCAAGAAATGTTATATAAGCTTCGTAATTTATTTTTCTCATATTATCGAAAAACATTCCTAGAAATATAAAGTCATAGCGATTTCTATTTTCTGATCAATCGTTGATTACGGATTTTCGAGAAACAGTCTACCTTTACATGTAACTTATCTGTAATTTTGCTTATTCAATAAAAGATTTTTACATTATTGTTATATCACACATTTAAAAAAAAATTTTACGATTAGTATGTTATGAACAATTAAAACACATTTATTAATGCTTGCTCTTGGCCAGATATTATAGTTAACCTATAAACTGTTTCTCCTGAACACCACGTAGAGGTGGCAAGCTTCGTTCAGGCTTACCTGCTACAACCAGTTTATAATTTAAGGGCAGTGACATATAATAGCCAATAAAATTTATAAAGAAAATGATTGATTGCAATATCTTACCTGAAAGTGTAAAATAATATTAGCTAATATATGACACTGCCCTTAATGGGTGATAAGCTACAAAATATTAAAAAATAAAATAATTGGTTTATTAAGAAAAAATTGAGTAGAGACTTTCTGATCTGTGCCTCTTCTGTTACGTATTATACCCTCTAAATCCGTTACCTATGCAACATGGCACTAAAATGAGAAAGAAATTATTCTTAAAATAAACTTTCCCATTTTACCCATATAATCATATATAAATATTTTGAACTATGGGACTAAGGACCAAGGATTAAACACAGGTTTCTCTACCCAATTTCAAATTTTATATTCGTTCAAGTATGATTTAATATGTGGAATACGTGGAGAGTTGGTTGTATCTTACCTTTGACATACTTGACGAAATATAATAAAAGAAAAAGAGGAAAAAGAAAGGATAAAAAATTATTTTTTTTTTTGCTTCTTGAGGTATTTAAATATTAGAAATAACTATCGATACTCGTTGACTCATTGATTATCGTTGACTCATTGATTATTAGTCAGCTCCTCAGCGAGTTGAATCACAATGTGCTGACTCAATTCTTTGTTTAATATGTCAGATTCGTATAAATTATCAATCGCGTGAAACAATATTTGTCACGTTATTATTGTGCGAACTTTTATTGTGGCGTAATCAAACTATAGCTAACAAAGGATGCAAATAAAAAAATGATGATAAAACGAATAAAACTCAAAAAAAAATATAGAAAAAGCAAATCAAAAAAAATTATTAGGATTAAGAAAAACAGGTAATGCTTGACAAAATGATTGGTAACATATTCACAAATATATCTTTGACAAGCACTTGGTATTTAACAACGAAAGTAAATTTAGTTAGATCATAATCACAGATTTTATGGAAATGATTATAGATTATAGATTTTAGATGGTTAATTTAGTTATAAAGATAATTTTCTATTATTTTTAGGTATTTCTATTGATCTATAATTAATATACTTATTATGTGTTACTAATGATTTTTTTTTTAAAATAATAATAATAATAATAATAATTTTGTTTCAGATAAACTGATTTTTTGATGCATGAATAATCAAGGATTCCTATGGGATAATTCCTTATTAAGAAATAAAAATAACGATTAATTTCTTATTAATATATACATCAAATTCAGCACAAGCAGGTTGCAAGTCAACGAATTAACAAATTATAATTTATCTGAAGTTGGCCAAACACAATTAATAAATACGAAATGAATTTTATATTATAAATTTATTAATTTCGTATTACCGTCCGCGTAAATTAGCAAATGTACAAAACCTATTTTTATTTATTTTTTTTTAATAAATCAATTTTATATTATTTTTTGAGTTTTCCACTCTGAATAAAATTTTCTGTATTTCCTCAATTGGAGTTCGATAATCGATATTCATGTTAATTAATATAAAAATATTTAATATGATCCATATTCAATCGTTTTTAAATTTTTCATTTCCATCTAGAAAAAAAACAATGTTACTTTTTATAATTAGTTAATAGTATATATGGTAATAAATTGATAATTTGTATATACCTAAATTAGATTACCAACATTCGCAATTTTGGCATAACGATTATATTTACTAGTATAAACGATATAACACGGTTCATGCATGTAGCTTTTTCACTGGGTTAATTAAATTAATTATAAAGAATTATAAAATTTGATGAATTCTTTGTACTAAATTATTACAACCAAATTTGACTATAATTAATAATTTTGGCGGGCCTGGTGAACCAAAAAACGATTATAAATCAGTAAAATATCCAATAAACTTGTAGGAACATAATAAAGAACAAATACTATAATATAGATTTATACTGTATTGCATAAACTAATTTCCAAGAATTCGTAGAACATTACCAGTGATACAGTATACATGATTAAAGTCAATTAAATCTGGTAAAATTTGTTGATCAATAGTTCATATTTCTGGTCAAATTTTGTTAATTCTGGCCAATTTCGTAATGCTGGCTTAAAACGAAAAAAATTCGTTATAATAATGTTATACAACATTTTACACAATATAATCGATCTGACTTAAATAATGAAAATCATACTTATTGATCGATTCTAGTACCTTATTATTTATCAAAAAAAGATTTGTATATTCTTTTCAACTTTCAATCTTCGTTAGAAGTTGTATTTTTTGACGTTAAAATTAATAAAAGTAATAGAAATTTGAATTTTACTAAATAAAGTAGGAAATTAAGCTTTGAACAAAAGCAAGATGTATTTTTTTTTTTTTGTGTAAAAACTTGAAACACAACTTTTTTTTTTAGATTTATTTAATGAATTTAGAAAAAAACTTGAAATGAGAATATGAGAATTTAGATGAAAATTTACTGGAAGAAAATGAAACTTTTATGAGAACTATAATGAATATAATAGTTTAAGTAATATATGGTGACAAATGAATTTATAAAATCTTTATTTGAATTATTTTACAGTACTTACATAAAGTATTACAATTTTAAATGAGTCTAAATTATAATCTAGAAGTTTCTGACAAAATTGATCGACCATATAATTATGGATTTTAACCACTTTCTAATTATCATTATTTTATTGGGTGCTACGGGATTGGGATATTCGTTTAATTCGGATATATCTAGATCACTACATAAATTTTTATTTTTATTTTTATTAATGGGTGTCAGTTAGGAACCTAACATGATGCGAATTTAAGCAGAATATTATAAGATAACAAATACTACTAAACTATCATCGCTAAAATAATATGCTCAAGCCAGTGGATACATCCAGGAAGAAGGCTTATGTGAAGAATATGTGTAATGGTTGGTAAATACCCCACACTGGTCGATAAAAATAAATTTTCCACTCGGCAAGTGACTATATTACTAGAGTTAATAAACTACCTACTAAAGGGGAACCTTTTATTGTCATACAATCCCCGAAAGGACACTCAAACGATCTCTCCAATAATAGTCCAAACATGTGCCACTTTACTATCATTACATGAATTTTTTTATTTTTTATTACATAAATTATTTAATATTAACTAATTTATACCTTGATTTGATCAAAAATGTTCAGTGCATAGCAGATCAATTAAATGACATCATGCATTCCTATATTCGTCTTACATTTGACAATGTGTTATATACTAGCTAACCTGAATAAGGATAGGTTTGAGATATAGTCAATGAGTCCGACTATTTGGATATGGTTTAGTTGGACAAATATTACCAATATAAGGATAGACAGGTTTTTTTTGGTAGCGATAATAAATTGTGTCATGTTACAATAACTAATAAATAATAAGATCAATCAGTTCAGTTCTTATTTATTTATAAAAAAATCATTTTCATTACGTTCTTAAATGATATTCATTGTTATATTTTACAATGTCTTTGGGCACCTCTAAAAACGTGATCCTTTCAAACTCTGACAAGGGTAAAATTCAAGTAAACCAAAGAGATTTAATTGATAAGATTTTGGCTCGGTAAATTGTTAACTCTTATGACATCATTATTCCCTATTTAGCTAAAACAAAAAAATTATCTTTTTTTCACTTTTTAGATACTCTCATAAATTTGTAATATTCCGAGAATTAATGCAAAATTCTGGTAAAATATTTACATGCCTTACATATTCAATTCATAATTTAACAAAAAAAAATTAATTATCGTTTACGTACTTTAATAAAGATGATGCGGAATCATCAAGTGTTAAAATTATATTTGAAACCAATGGCAATAAAATTACAAGAATATTATTTAAAAATAATGGATTCGCTTTTAGACCTGAAGATTGGGATCGTTTAGTGAGTATTGCCGAAGGAAATCCTGATGAGCTTAAGGTAAAAAAAAAAAAAATAACAATAATTTTATATTCATATCAACTTTTTTTTAATTAAGTCATTTTATTGACCTTTATCGATAAAATTTCCTTTTTATAACACTAATAGATAGGAGCTTTTGGCGTAGGATTTTATACATTATTTTCTGTTACAGAAAATCCATTGTAAGTAATTTGTTTTTCTCTTTTACTCAGTGTGAACTATTCAATAAATAATAATGATGTTATATTTAATAGTGTTACTTCTGGCGGACAAGGTATGGCTTTTTATTGGCGTGGAAACAAAATATTCACGAAAAAAGGACCAATTGACGATGATGATGACTGGACAACATTTATTATGGACACTAGGGAACCTTTAATGGTAAATATTGCTTAAACATAATTGTATATCTGATATACAGTATATCATGATATTTATGCATCGATTTACCCTTTTTTCTCACTAATTAGATACCAAATATTGAAGAACTCTCAAAGTTCTTAGTCAATTTATTGGTAAGTTAGTTATATAATATTGCTAACTGTTATTATTAATTTTATTAATATTATATTCCGTCCATAACAATAATAGGGGTTTACGGATAATATTAAAGAAATATCAATGTATATTGATAATAAATTGATAACAAAACTATCAAAGAAAATGCAAGATTCAAAGTCGATTGATATTACATCTGGTTTTAATACATTTTCTTCAAAAAATATGTTTCATCTCACATCGGTAGATCTTAGGCATGTCCAACTAGATGTTGAGAGATTACTTATACCAAAAAAAATAAATATAAAACATCTTCACTCAGATGTGTATAAAATGGAAGAAACATCTATAATATTTAGAATTGCTAAAGGAAGTTTGAACGTTAATATTAGCAAAGAATTTTCCAAAAAAATGGGACAAATAATTAAGAAAGGCTTACCAAATAATACGTCCATCCAAATGCTTTTTACTGAATTCGATGAACGTAATACATCCAAAGATTATTATAAGGACCTTTCTCCTATATTTAAAGATTTAATTTCATATCCTGAACAAGGAAAAATATATATTGGTTTCCCAACTAATCAAACAACTGGTTCTTGTTCTCACTTAGAAGCTCGTGTGATTCCTACTGTAAGTATATTTTAATTTATACATATCATAATTTATTAAATGTTAGTATTATCTTAATATAATTATGCTCTTCTAGATGGAAAGGGAATTGATTGATTTTGCTGAACAAACATTAGCTGAATATAACAATGAAATGTTATGTCTAGGAGGAACATTAAGTAGAATTTTATATGAATATGAAATGGCTCAAATATCAAACTTCTATAATGAGATTATCAGTTCTGATATTGAAAAAATTGAAAAAAATGAAATAACAAAACAGCCTGAAAAACATACACCTGAGCCAAAAATGAAAAGATCGTTACATAAATGGCTTATAAAACGTTTCAAATCCAGTAATCACATTCCAACCATGCAATTTTTATCTCCTCACCATGAATTGTTGGAAAAATGGACAGCACATGTGATAGCACATTTTACATACAATGCAAGTACTCCAAATGTACAAGTTTCCAAAATAGTGGAAACTCAATTTTTTAATTGTTTGAAACAGAACTTACATATTTTATCAACAAACGGTATCCATCCAATAACTAATGTTCGCTTACCTAATCCAGAAATGGCAGGATTCATAAAAACAGTTCCACTCATTCCAAAATCTTTATTGGAACAATGTGAACCATTTTTTAATAAAGCCAAAAATACAAATCTTACAGTAGAGTTAAGTTTTGAAGATGTTCTAGTTGAACTAAAAAGTCGAACACTTTCTGAAGAAGAAATAATTAAACTTTTAAAATGGTGGATTTCTTATTTATCAAAGGGAAATCAATATGACACGCGGCTTTTAAAATTTACACGAATCAATGATAGTTCTCAAACTCTAGATACAATTAAATTTTATTTGAATCCACACAAAATTTCCTCATATATTGACATTCCATTTGAAGTAATACCATACAATATTTCTAAAAATTTCACTCAGCAGGAGCTTACAGATATTTTGAAATGGACTGAATTACCATTGATTAATTCGGAAAAGCTTATTGTCAATAATCCTGGATTAGAACCAGACCCTAAATTCGCTGAAAAAGTTCACCATCATGTTTTGACAAAAAATTTGGAAAATATTCCACAACAAGATAAAGAAACTATTCGTCCCTATGCAAAAGGCATGGGTGATTTTTGTTGAAAAAACATCCAATTGATTTCTGTATATTTGACCATAAAATAAATGTGCTAAAAATCGCAATAAATCACACGATAATTGTATGGCAATCATACAATAATTATCCTATTTATGACCTGAATTTATACAATTGTTTGAGCCAAATTTAGGCCAATTTTAAGAATTGTTATGTGCCGAATTTAGAAATTATTTGTGGGCCGAATTTTAGGAATTATTGTGAGTCGAATTAATTTTAGAAATTATTGTGAGCTAACTTTGTTCACGTGTCATGATCGGCAATAAAAAATTTTTGGCCAAAATTTAAATTCCTCCCATTTACCTGCTTTAAGCAAAGTGATGATATTTCCTTGTTTATTTCATTTATTAATATAAGAGCAATTTTTATAGTTTAATATTTTCCATAGGTAATAGAAACTAAATAACACAGTCAATTATTTTAAAGATAGTTTACAGTATCATTGAGCGTAACTACCTTGACATTATTAAAATTTTACAATTTTTATAATTTGAATTTTGAGAAAATATTAATACCAATAATAAAATTTCATGTTATTAGGGTTATGGAAAAATGATATTATGAAAAAACAGTAAATAAAATTACAATCTATTTTAACAATTATTTTATATTTACAAGAAGTTAAAATTTTTATAAACATAACTTTATTATACTTAAAAATGATTATATTATAATTGAATTTATTTTTTTAATATAAATTTCCTTCACATAATAATGGTAAAATGTTTCTTTTTTATAATTATTTGTACACAGATTTAAAGCAACTAAACTAATTGGATAATACATATTTTTAAAAAATTTTCAATCTATATAATTTTAACGTGATTGATTCTAGTAATAACCAATACGTAGAGTATTGTTCCAATATCACCCTTTTAATCATTTTGTAAGTTATAATAACTATATTGTATCATTTCATTCTCGAAATTTCTCGTGTTTGCTGTGCCATAATATTTCATATGAATTTCTGTGCATGTAATTTAATATGGCTACTTTAACTTTATTGTATGCAAATTAATTGTTATATTTGTTATGACAAATAAATAAACGATTTTTATTTATTATATATCATTATGATAAATATCAGATGTATAACCGCAGTTTGTATAAATAATTCTGACTAGCATTATAGATCACATGATATAATTCTAAATAAATGACATTATGACATGTGAAATTTCATTAGATAATTTGTGTCATTTTATGTCACTTTCCAACACTGGAATACCTCCCATCTGCTTATTCGGCTTTTGGCATCTGGACGACAATTATATTACTGGACAACATTTCTGGACAACATTTCTGGACAACATTTCTGGACAACATTTCTGGACAACATTTCTGGGCAACATTTTGGACAACATTTCTGGACAACATTACTGGACAACAATAAGAATGTGTATGGGGTAGAATACCTCCCATCTGCTTATTCAGCTTTTGGCATCTGGACGACAATTATATTACTGGACAACATTTCTGGACAACATTTCTGGACAACTTTCTGGGCAACATTTTGGACAACATTTCTGGACAACATTACTGGACAACAATAAGAATGTGTATGGGGTGGAATACCTCCCATCTGCTTATTCATGGATGACAACTATATTTCGGGACAACATTTCTGGACAACAATAAGAATGTGTATGGGGTGGAATACCTCCCATCTGCTTATTCTGCTTTTGGATCTGGACGACAACTATATTTCTGGACAGCAATCAATAACCGGGCAACAATTCTTTTATTATTTTACGAGCCTTTTTACTGACTCTTGGAAAAATTTTAGATTTTGTAGGACCATATTTATATTTATCTAATAATGAATCATTAACGAAATGAAAATTAACGAAGTACGTGAAAAGGACAACGAAATGAAAATGTAAAACGAAAATTAATGAAGTACACTAAAAGGATAACGAAATAAAAATGTAAATATCAAATATAATTATTGTGTTCTTGGTGTTTAGAATGTAATAATTCATATTGTAAATGTAGACTTGAAAAAAGAAGTAATGATGAAATTATGGTAATTATAAGCTTGGCCTCATAAGTTTAATTATAAAGGAAAATTAATTAAATAGAATTTTAAGACGTGATACTACAATAATAATAATAATCATTTTATTTATATTTTATTTATAATAGGACTTTGTACACGAAACACGTCTATAGCTAATAATTTTTGAACAATTAAGAAAAAAATCCTAATAATGATTATATTTAAGATGTAAAACAAGTAATCGCAAAATAAACGAAATAAAAGATTCGATGATAATTAAATGACCTAATTCGTCAAGATTTTTCATCTCCTTTTCACATTATGATTATCGATCACTTTGTTTATTTGCAATGTCCTGATGGCTTACTAGTTGCGTCACACATAAGAAATTTCATTTGGTACACTTTTTTCTCTTCCAAACGGGTGAAGAAAATAAAGATTTTATCTGCTACAGTTTGTAAGTTCGTAACAAAAGTCATGATTTTAACAATTCTTCGTAAGATTACTACATTCAAAATAGCCAAAATAACCGTTTAAATTTGTATGAAAACAAGAAATATTGAATTCAAACTGGTTTACTTCCGGCTGGCATTATTTAAAAATTGAATTTATTCTAAAAACCATTTAAAAATTTTGATACAATTTTGTTATAAAAATCTAGTTTACAGATTATCTTTTGTAAAATCGATTTCTTTGAAACAAGAATGTCAATCGATCGAATTTACAGTACATCATCTTGCTCATGCGGTATTCTATTATAGACAAAATTTTTGCAAATGAGCAGAAAAGTTCTACTCTAATCGTAATGCATAACAATAGTACCCTTAATATCACTTATGGTGAACATATAAATCAGTGGACTGATAAGTGACCTTATTCTAATAAAATAGGGTTAGTATGTATTTAAAATTATTACTGAGATTATTATTAAAAAAAAAAAAAAAAAAAAAAATACCATGGAACAAAATCACAAAAAAGAGTGTTTCTATTAAGGGATCCGTCCAAAATCTCTATTAACCCTATCCAGTATCCAAGCCATCCGACTTATCTAATATCTACTATTGTTTTTTCCTGAAATTTTGAAACTGTATAAACACAACTTCTATTTATTTTTTATTTTATTTTTTTGGTTAAATTTTACATCAAGTTTTCTATTACTGTATGAGGCATACTAAACATTTAAAGTCATTAAACAACATAAAACACCGAAACACATATCATACAACACAATTGTATCACATATTCAAAGAGTTTCAGCGTCAGAAATTTTACATTGAAAAAGGTCAATATTGGATGATTCATTGTTATACTATAGTGATATTTGGATATTTTTAATTTTTACTGTATATACTGAAGAATTTAGAATATTATTCATACACAAATAAAAAAAACAAGAAAATTTGCAAGGCCCAACATATTTGGATAATAAATCAAATCTGTTTATATATATAATATAATATACTAGGTAATGGCAACCGTTTAAGTATTTTTTTTTCACAGCCAATCATCATATTGCATAAGTCCCACGCTAAATTACACAAACCTGAAAATAAAACTTCAAAGAAACAATCATCTAGTTATTACTAATCACTGTTCTATAGAATTCAGTTAATAAAGTAGTAGCTGGAAATAATGAAATACTATATTAATTATTTTTTTAATTTTTTATTAGCATTCTAAGCATAGTTTTAAACTTACAGTTGTGTCCGTATGATACATTTATAAAGTTATCACATGGATTTTATTAACATTAATACATTGTTATACAATAATTATGCTAATCTAAACATTTATTTATTCTCTAAATTATTTACATTACAAGTTGCCAATTAAATTGCGTTGTCGATATTGCGATCCTTTTTTTTTTTAACTAACAATCATATAATTTTCATTTGATGGATGTATGACAATCATCCACTTGTTTCATCCATATAATCTGTTTTGATTTTTAAAATTTTTTATTATTTGTAATTATTTTATATTATATAAATAAAAATGTTCCCAAAAATAGCCTTCCTGCCGAGTTTTGACAATTTTTACTGAGGTAATAACTTAAATGACGCAATATCATCTGATATATGACTATTTTAGCGAATTATAAAATTATGAAATAATATCTTCCGCAAATGATATTTAACTAACCTCATTCTATTTAGTGGTGCTCTTATGATTTAATTGTATTATTTCATTAATTAAAACAACTCACATCGTAGTATACTGTATAAGCGTAACATTCGTAACAAGATGATTGTTTCTGATCATGTGATATTATGATCTCTGCAATGCAGATAATTAAAGTTAAATATTTTGCGGGAATAAATTAAATATATTAAAATAGATTTCATGACATAATAGTATATAATGACGAGCAGTCTTTAAAGGTTATAATGTAAAAAATAGAATTTTAAGGAAATCAGAATTTTTTACAAATAAGGCAAAAGAAATTATTAAAATACATTGTAAATAACGATGTTGTAAAAGGACATTTTTATTTATACTGCGGATTTTAAAAACTTACACGATGTTAAAAAATTGAGTTTGCTATACAGTATTTTTTTAATCCTTTATTATTTCGAATCATTGATAAAATATATTCAGCTTTTTCTAAAAAAAAAAAAATAATCAATTAATAAAAGAATTTTTAAAGGAACTAATCATTATCATCGTGATAATCGTTAGAAATCGAATAATTAAAATAAGGAATCATAAAGTACTACATATACTATATATAATATAATAAACCCAAGTATTTTTATTAAATCATTTCAGGAATATTTTGAACATTTGATTTTATTAAAGTGAATAAATCGCATTAAGTATTTTTTCCTTTACTGTGATACTTTTAAACTAAATTTAAACTCGCGTTCTTTGAAGTTATACTATGTCAATAATAATGCCGTAATCAATTTTTAATGATTAGCAAAGTTCTTCCATATTTGAATTGTATCAAACTTTTACTGTATTCAAAGTGTAATGATTAAAATTCAAAACTTTTATATGTATTTAAGTGAAAAGATACAATCATTTAGTTACCAGCGAATGTTCGTTCTATGACCAAATTTCTGCGTAGTTCACTTTGACGAGGTTATATTTGCAATGAAAATATGAAATTAATGTTTAAGTTTATTAAAATTAACTATTTCTAAAATGTTTAACATTACATAGAAACTTTTTTATAATAAATCACCATTAACCAGATTCAAAAGGAATATTCGTCTTAAGCTTCTCTTAAATTTAATACTTATATGACCATAAAATTATATTTAATAGATTTGAGAAATAATTAAATAGTC